TTCTGACTCATCCTGACTCAAAGGACAGAGTGGAACTACCCACTGGGCCTTGATAGCTGTGACCCCCACAGTCAGCTGTAGGAACTGTGTTGCACCCAGCCTGCCCCTTCTGACTGAGCAGGTGCTCCCACCACTCTCCAGTGAAGCAGCTGGTGTGTTCAAACCACTGACCTTTTTGATTAACAGCTATGCACTTGCCCACTGTCCCCTCGGGCTCGATGGTGTACACACACACACACACACACACACACACTTTGTGCATCTATATTACTTGCATACCTCACTGCTATCCAGTTGATTCTGACGTATAGTGACCCTATAGGACAGAGTAGAACTATACCTCTGGGTTTCATAGACTGTAGCTCTTTACCAGCGTAGATCCTTGCATATCCATATCCATATTCATTTTCATTAACTTTAACTTCCATTCTCCATAGAGTGTGAGAAGCAGCCAGGGACAAAGTATAAACCTGCTTCCTTGTTGGGGACCCTAGCCTCAAGACTGCAGCTTCCTTTTGCTGAATAACAGATTTTAATCAATCTCTTTCTATCTCTACATGTATTTGTCCCATGAAGGCAATCAATGGGAAGAGGATACAGACTCACAGAATTATTGAGACTTTAAAGAATTTTAGTGATGCCTGTGTCAGTTGTTTCTAAGGATTTGTGTTTTTTCAAGTATACGACCTCTGATTTTTAACTTGGGAGTCTGTAATGTTTGCATGATTCGAACATCCACCCTGGTCCTGATGCTCACATATGACCATGAGGATGGCCTGCATCCGACCGAGTGGCCTCTGTTCTCCCCACAGGCTGTGTATCTCCGGCTCACAGATCTTCCCGGCAGCCTTCTCGGCTCCTGCCCTGGCAGGGACTGAGGACTCAGGGATCGCTGACCTAAGGGCCTGTTCACTCCTGGAAGAAGAGATTTATGATGTGGAAGGAAAAATTGAAGAGTATTTCGCTTTTGATGGAAAAGAAGAGTAAATAGAGTTTCATTCGATGCTCACTTACTAATGGGAAAGTCATAGTGTTTTATCTAGCTTTTTTAAAAAAAATGTTATTCATTGAGTGGACTATACAATACAATTTAAGTGTGCAGTAATCTTTGCATTCTTATAAGCATGATGTGCTACCAAAGTTCTTAGGTCACCAGCAGGAAGTCGAGATGCCAGAGCCGTGCCTCTCTTCCTTTTGTAGCAAGACAGCATGGAGGGAAGACAAGGATGTGGGTCCCTCATGCTGGTGACAATGCATACTGCCACTAAGTAGAGCCCTCCTGCTCAGGAACTCAGGGACAGTATGGCTGACTTGCCCAGAGGGCCCAGGGACGTTCCAGTCTCCACACTACTAAATGCACAGTAGCTCTTAAAACAGAATTGGCATTGCCATAATTGAAAATTGATGGATTAAAAAATAAACCAAAATAATATATAAGTATTTTTAAACATCAAATTAATTTTATACATGCATGCCTGTGAGATAGCTAGATGGATAGATAGCATGTTGACATTGACTGTTCGTTATTTGAATGTGCCTTTGTCCTTAGGGATGATGAATGTCTTGAGCAAAAAAAAGCCCCCCGTGGTAGAAGGGGGCGTAAACACGGACTTCCTCCCATCTCCCCTCATGCCTGTATCAAAGATGCGGTGGCTGCGGAGGTGTTTGATCATGTCTGGGGAAATGTGGTCGCGTTATTGGAAGAGCTGGTCAGAAAACACTGGGAAAGGACACTCACAGGTACTTAGATGTAGAACTCGGGATAATGAAAAGAAAAGTAAAACAGATAGGCCCTTCAGCTTTGTGCTGTGTTATCTTGGACATAATTGAGTTGAGGAAGGAAGTGGTTTCCCTGATGAAAGATTCACAGCATAGTCTTTAACCATTTCAAACAGACATTGTTATTTTTTTGAATTAGGGGAAATAAAACATATTCACTCTAGAAATGTGTAAACACAGAAATGCATAACAAGGAACATAGACGGCACTCCTCTCTTCTAGTTACAATTGTCATAATCCAAAATTTTTAATATTAGATATTTTAACATAATAGAGTTAAGCTGTACATGTCACTTTATTACCACTTCATCTCATTTTTATGAAATGTAATATGTATTAAAGGGTCTATGAAACAAGGTTTTTGAAAACAGCACAACAGTGTCATAGAAATTTATTGTAATTTATTTAACTAATCCCTAACAATAAGACCTTTATTTTTAACTGTTTGCAGTAATTTACATTGCTGTGAATGATATAAATGCATGAATTACAAAGTAAAATGCAAGTGTAATTAATTTAATAATTACTTCATTTAAACTATAACATGTTCTGAAAATACTTAAAACTGAGCTGAAAACCTTGCAGAAGTGTCAGTGGGGGATATTAACAGCTTGTTTTATGTAACTGATTTATACCTAGGATAATAAGCCTGTTAATTTAAAACAGCTGTTTTTCCAACTCAAAAAGTTTACTTGGGCTTGCATAAAATATCAGGGGTCTTCATTGTCCCAGGGTATGTACACCCTGCATTTTTCTAGATACCATTGAATAGATAGATGTTCCCTTGTCTTAGGTCCCTGTTTATTAAGTTAGCTGATGGACACCCAAAATAAAGGTTCTTATCCATGAGTGCAAACTTCATTATGAGACCAGGCCAATAATTACTTTAAAGCAAAGCTGAGAAGACATTAGGGATAGGGACATTAGGGTACTTGAAATGGAACAACAAGAACCCAATGAACGACAATGTTGACTGTGGACACACTGTGAAAAATGTAACCACTGTCACTGAATAACTTGGGTAGAGGTGGTCAGTCTTCCGTGTAAATGTTCACTGAAAGCACAAGAAACAGTGTTATTAAAATTACTATTATTACTAACATTACTGTTACAAAACCAAGGCACACCCTCCATGTAGGCATGTGGGAAAGCATTGTGTCTGCCAGCCGCTCCAATGAGCAAGCGCACAGGCCAAAGAATACACGTTCTCTTTGAGCAGTGAATGTTGACTACATGAATTCGATAATCTGATGTTTAATAAGATAGCTTAGTAAGTGCTTAATTGTAATATCTCTTTTTATACTGATACAGATGGGAAAAAACAGAAAGAAAAATTGAAAGTTGAAACTAAATCTCAACATATACTAATCTCTCGTTTTAACACTGATCCAACAAGTGTCCCCCCTTCCAGAAGCTCTGAAACTCGAAGCATATCCTTGGCTTCTCATCTTATTCAACCACAGGTAGAGGACTTGTTCACTCATCTTTCTTTCCCTCATCTATATAGCCCCTGTCTCAGTTTGTCAAGAGAATTATTCTATTAAATTCTGTTAAGATACTTGGGTGTGTTTACTAATAAGAATAGAATTTAACATGATTACTCCATGCAGTTGAATAGACTCACCATATAATTTAATAGGCACCCAGATTTGAGATTACCTGGGTTGAGCTCTTTCCTTTCCTAAAGAAAGAGAGAAAAAATATGTCCCCTTAATGTTTCTAGATTATAAATATTTTCCTTTCCTTTCACATAAATGATAAAAGTAACCAATCAATTCAACATCGATTAAGCTTCTATGAAGTAAACTGAATTAGGTGTTTTGCAGAGATATCTAAACTAATAAAATATTGTCCCTGACATAGTTACATGTTCCTATGTAAAACATTCTCTAAGAGATACACATAAAGCCTAAGCATGAAAGTACCATAAGACAATAGAAGAGGGGGTGATTAGTCCGAACTAACGAGAGCTTAGGTTGCGGTGACATTTGAGCAGCCATGTGAAGAGAGATTCCATGAGTGGGAGAAGTTCAGGAGGGTAATGTTAGAGCAAGCCAAGGAAGGCATGGAGGCAGGGACGGCGGGCATGTCTGGAGAACACTGGTTGGCCTCAGCAGTGAGAGAGTCCAGCATTAGGAAAAGCAGAGGACTGGAATCAAGAAGCCTAGGGGAGATATGATTTTGAGTATTTTTGTCTTATTTTTCTAAAATGTTGCTTTCTTCCCTGTAAAAGGAGAATAACAATACTTAGTCCAAGTAATTATTGTGAGGATAAATCATATAAACACATGAAAGCTCCTTACTGGCATTTAGGAGGCACTTAGTAATTTTTCCTTGAATTTCATCCACATTCAAAGGTCTTTGAGAAGCTGGGATTAGACATGAGGAGCTTGTGCGTAGGAGATTTCTGCGGTGTTCAAGAGTGTGGGGCTTTTTGTTGTGCACAACCCATCTTGCCAGGGGAGGGACTGGAGAGCAGGCAATAGACAGGTTGCCTGGTCGGAGGCACAGCCAATCTAGTTGGACTAATAGGGCTAGAGGGGCAAGCAAGCCCAAGCAATGCAAGTCACACACACACACACACACACACACACACACACCATGAGAAGAAGAGTCAATGTAGTAGAATAGATGCCTGGCAACCATTTACTAACATCATTTGGGAGATCTTTGAGGCAGAAGGCTGTGGGACAAAGACAAAATGTTCTATACAGTGTATGGCTTACAATAGAGATTCAGTAAACATCTGCTTTATTATAAGCAGATTCTAGTTAAATTATTTTATTATAATCTAATATGCTTCAAATCCTAAGTGCTGTGGGGTGAAGAAGAAAAACAGCACACCTTAAGCAGGATAAGATGTGAACAAAAGGCTAGGTGAGAGGTAAGATTTGTCTAACTGAAGGAAAAACAATCCAAAAAGCTCATTGCCATAGTAGTCAATTCCGACTCACAGGGACCCTGTAGGACAGTAGAGAACTGCCCCTGTGGCTTTCTGGGGCGGTAACTCTTTATAGGCAGTAAAATGCTTTTTCTTTCTCCCACTGACTAGCTGGTGATTTTGACCATGGGTTAGCCGGCCAGTATGTAACCACTACATCACCACAGCTCCTGCCAAAGAGGGAAAAGTGAGGCTGTTTATGGCAAGCGTAAGCATATGCACATAGTTCAGGACCACATAATCAGAATATCTCCCTAAGACAGAAAGAACATAGGTCTCAATTAGGGTGTGTGCTTTGGGAACCAGAGGGTAAAACAGGAATGTTGCACAGACTTGCTTTACTCCCAATGCAAGGACTTTACAATAATTCATCTTCCCTTTTGCTGGTCGAAAGAAAATTGGGGTGTGTGTGTGTATACATTTGGGTTTCATTCTCTGATAGGCTCAATGCAGTATTTACCACTTGGTTTAATATGCAGAATAGATCTTATAAAACGTGAGAAGTTGGTGACATTAAGGAAAGAATCTTTAAATATCAAGAAAAATAGGGAGATCTTAAAAATATGGTATCTTAAAAGATTTAAAACGATTTTGTAGTTTCACTTCTACTTTATTTTGGATACACGTTGCTTTAAGAAAATGAATAAACATAAACAAAAGCAAAGATGAAGTGATAATAAAGCCAATTTTGAAGTAGTCAGAGCTTTCTAATGGTAATTATAGATCTTAATTTTATTCCCCTTAGTATTTGTCTTTACATACTTTCAATATGGGGCAGGAAATTTGAGGCGTGGTTATAATATCTGTTCATTAAATAGAGCAAAATAGGGTCTCACAAATGCATTCCTGTTCATCGGAGTCTAAATTGTGTTGGTCATATTTGGGGGCCAAAGAAACAGTGAATAATTCTCTTGCCCATGTATGCTATATCATTTAACTCTTAAAATAACTCTCGGAAAGGGCCTTATTATTTCATTTTTAATGATGAAAAAATTCAAGTACTAATAACACAATAATCTTTCCAAGATCACCAACAAGGTAGTAGTTAGAACTGGGGCTAAGACTTAAGCCTCTTAGACTTAATGCTTGGATTCATTCCATGTATATCAAACTCCTTTTAGGAAGAGAACTTGGGCAGCCAATGTAGCTAAGAAGAAGCTGAAGATCAGCAGACATAGCTTCATCTTACAGGTCCATATCCCCTCTTCCTCCCTCACTCTGCATTTGCCCTGGAGGCAGATTACACCGATTATATCAGAAGACACCCCTGCCTTCCAGCTTCTGGTTGGGTGTAGGAGCTCACAGCATGGGAGTACAAATCCTGATAATAACTCCCATGTCCCTTCCCTCCAGGTCACTACCCCCTCTAGGTTTTATGAACCTCTCCCAAGACAGGCTGAGGTGTGATCATAACTCTCCACTGTGACAGGCCTTGGGGAATTAGGCTACTCCTTATTGCCTTCTCTTCCCCCATCTTTATTAAATATGGTCCCTGTGTTGACATTTCATCAAATTAGCCAGTTTGAGTGTGTTGCATTTTTTCTGCTTATTCTAAACAGTCATTCATCACTGGATGGTTACTAATTTTTACTTTTTCACTCTTGTCAGATTCATCGATTTTCCAACAATTTTTATAGTGATTTGAATGGTGTGATGACCATTCAAACTAAACCACTTCAGCAGAGACCTACCTATGTCGCAGATAGAACACAGTATGTATAAGAAATAACTAACCAATGCTGTTACATTTGAGCACTGAAGAATATAAGGGCATGAATCTTATTTTAGCCCATGCTTTAGATGTGCCCAAGCATGGAAGATAAAAACTAGGACGAACTGAAGTGCAGTTCTGTAATAGTCAGGATGCTCCTTAGAAGCGAGGATGGTGAGACTTTTTGTCGTGTACTTTGAACATGTTATCACGAGCGACCCGTCCCTGGAAAGACACCATGCTTGGTAAAGGAGAGGTTAGAGACAAAGAGGAAGGCCATCAACAAGACGATTGACACAGTGGCTGCAACAATAGGTTCAACTGTAGGAACCATTGTGAGGATAGCTCGGGGTGAGGCAATGTTTCCAGTCGGAACCAGTTTGGCAACATCTAGCAACAACATTCTAATAGAAACCATAAAACCCAAAGTCCAAACTCATTGCTATTGAGTTGATGCTGATTCATAGTGACCCTGTAGGACAGGATAGAACTGCCCCTGTGGGTTTCCAAGACTGGAAATCTTTATGGGAGTAGAAAGTCTCATCTTTCTCGTAGGGAATAAATGGTGCTTTCGAACTGCTGACCTTGAGGATTGCAGCCCAACGCATAACCACATCACCAGGGCTCCTTAAAATAAGTACTATTAAATCACAAATAAGTGCTATTATAGATTAGGGTGGAAGAGATGAGGAAAGGGGAATGCAGCTGTGGATTCCTAATTTGAAATGGGGGTTTTAGAATGACTTCTTAATTGAATGTGAATGACTTAATTGAAATTGGAATGATAGTCATGGAGGAGTGTCTTCCATATACCAATACTACTTTAGGCTGCATTTTTTGGTTGTTATTAGGTGTTATGGAGTGTATTTTAACTAATATTGACCCAGTGTGCCCGAGTCGAATTATCCCACAGGGTTGGCTAGAGTGTAATCTTGTAACGAATGAGGCCCCCATGTCTTTCTCCTACAGAACCGCTAGGGGGGTTAAAACCACGAACCTTTTGGTTAGTATCCAACCATTAATTAACCAGTGAATATCAGTTTTACTAATGCGGGATCAGGGCTCCTTAACCACTACCGGTGATTACAAATAGAAGTGCTCCCTATTCCCACAGTGCTGCCATTCACGGAACTAACTTGATGTCTCCCTCAGCAATGAACAAGAGGACAAACCAACGAGGCCCGATGCCAGCGCTGCCTCCTCCAGGTGGCACCGACTTAGTAGGACGGCCGATGTGCGAGGGCAGCCGGCTTCCTCCAAGAAAACGCCCCTGCACAGGAGACTGCCTTCTCTGACTTCAGAGTCTCAGAGACTGAGAACCCCCAACGTGTACAGCGACGAAGTTCTTAGGGGAACAAAACTGTGAGTCTTGTTTCTCTCATAGCGAACTGAAATTTATGTGAAACAGAGACACCTGTCAAGTAAGGCCTATGGATAATTGTGACCCAAGTGTACTCTAATAACTTTTATGTGGACCTTTTTCTAATTAATTAGAGTATTGAAGAGTAATTTTGTTGCAGTGATACACGTAGTCGTATATAACAAGATAAGGTCAGGCCGGTTGTTATAATAAATTATCACAGACTAGATGGTGTGAAGCAACCGAAATTTATTCTAGAGGTAAGAAGTCTGAAGTCAGGGTGTCAGGAGAGGCCTCCTCTCTCCAAAGGGTCTAGGGAAGATCCCTTGCTTGCCACTTTCTAGTTTTGGGTGGTGGTTGGCGATGCATGGCATTCTTTGGCTTGCAGATAAATCACCCCAATCTCTACCTATATGCTCGCCTGGCATTCTTGTGTGTCTTCATTCTCTTCTGGTAAGGGCCCATTCTGGTGTGACATCGTCTTCCCTGATTACATCTGTAAATACCTATTTCCAAATAAGGTCATATCCGCCATGGGCTAGATCTTTTGAGGGACACAGTTCAACGCACAACAGTACCCAGAGCACAGGCAGCTAAGCTAATGGGACCTTAATGTCTGGGTGACCTTGGACTGGTCACATACGTTTTCTGAGACTCGATTGCCTCATTTGTATAAGGAATAACGAATTAATACCTTAAAATTACTTTTAAATTCAATAATTCATTTTATTCTGATGCTGATATAAAATAATTACATATGTTGATAAAACTAAAAGGAATATGAATCTATTCCTACTACATTTTAGGGAGAAGGGTAAGTCGAAAAGTGTTCCTATAAAATCATCCTCAATGCCATCAGGTCCATGCTGACTCACAGCAACCCCCTGGGCCTTTCCAAGACAGTAACCATTTCCAGGAGCAGACAGCCCAGGCTTTCTCCCAAGGAGCTGCTGGTGGTTTTGAACTGCTGACGATGCGAATCACAGCCCAGCGTGTAACCACTACACTAAGCGTCCATGACAAAATCGTAGAAATTGTTGTTCCACAAAAAGACCAAAGTGTAAGGCTATTGTTTCTGAGCATTGCTTCCACTAAGGTCTGTTCACTTCTGAGGACATTCTGTCTCTCGAACCCTTCTCTGAAAAATTCCACATGCTTTCCTTACACTACTTCAATACAGCAAGTTCGATCTCCTTGAGAGACTCAACTTGTATTCTTCTTTTAATTTTGGTAGTCAAAAGGAAACCTGAAGGGGCAAAATGAGGGCTGTCGGGTGGATGGAGTCTGTTTACCCACAAAATTCTGTGGAACAGCCATTGTGACCCTGGAAGGGTGAACAAGTACATTGTCGGGATGGAAGAAAATCATTGGGCCCAATTTTCCTGGCCTTTTCCTGGCCAGTGCAGGTTTTGGATTTCTTAACACTTCTTCCTAATGGGGCCGTGATTGTTCGGTGTCTTTTGAGGAAATCTACCAAGATCATCCTTTGGCACTCCCAGAATACAGTCACCACCACCTTCCAAGCTGACCTTTCTGCCTTGAACTTAACTGGCCCAGCAGATCTCCTCAGAAGACACTGTTTTAATTGGACCTTTGTTTTCTTAGCACTCTACTGAGACTAAGACAAATTTATTGTTTAGAGAATTGATTTATAGCCATCCACTGATCATAGAAACAATTTAAAACATATTTTTGTTTGGAATAAACCCATGCAGGTATGAACTGAAACCTAGTGGCAGGAATTTTATAACTTGCCTTCATATGTCTAGTGTAAATTATGACTTGCCTTTATAAAGTGAGGAGTCCGGGTGGTGCAGTGGTTACATGTTGGGCTCTGATTCACATGGTCAGCAGTTCAAAACCACCAGCATTCTGCCAGAGAAAGGCTGGGCTTCCTACTGCCATAAAGAGTTACAGTCTCAGAAACCCACAGGGCATCCCGATGAGTCAGCATTGGCTCGATGGCAGTCAGTTTAGTTCTTGCTCCTATGTCTCAGGATGTTTCATTCTATATAGGAAGTTTAAAAAAAATCATTTGACTATGTGGATCATTGCCCAATTAGAACAGAATGTATTACAGAACTTTGAACAAGTCTTCTAGTTTTCTGATTTCATCAAGTATCAGGCAACTCTAATGTTAAGTATAGCAGTAATGACTGTTGGTCATTTCTAAGTTACCACACAGTGATACCAAGTGAATGATAGGTATTATTTATGGCTGACCTCAAACCTTCCAAGTGGATAGTGATGTCATTCCCATCTCAGGGGAGCAAGTAGAGGCTGAAGGGGGTTGCATAACTAGTGAAGAGTAGAGCTGGGACTCATCCGCAGCGCCCCCCAGAGGCAAAACCCCATCCCCTTGACCACCCAGGATGGCTTTCCTGAGCATGTGAGTAGACTTATTGGAGGGGCTGGGCTAGTGTCCCCTGCAGGGTGGCACAGTGATCAGCTCCCAATGCTTAACCAATAATTGGACTTTTAAAAAATGTACATCCGGGAACTCTAGTGATATAATGCTTAGGCTTTGGGCTGCTAATTTCCACTCAGCATTCAAGCCACCAGCTGCTCCTCGGGAGAAAGACGGGGCTTTCTACCCCAATAAAAAATTAGTCCTGGAAACTTCCAGAGGCAGTGCTACCCTGTGCTATATGAGTCAGTATTGACTGGATGAAAGCGAGGTTTTTGTCTGATATCTAGAAGTACATTCACCTTCTTGGTAGGTATATGTTTGGGGGTTTTGCCTCATCCCTCCTGCTTTCCCTCCCACCATGACATAGGCCTAATATTATTAGCTATACGTGCGTCTTTTCTGTTCTTTTTTTCTCCTCAAAGTATGTCTCCCCATCCTATTAGTTATAATAATAGGATATAATAATAATTAGTTATAGTAATGTAACTAATGTGCATTGGCCTTCTTCACCTCCTAGGGCTCCAGATTTATGTTATTGGCTCTGCCTTCTCTCCCGACCCACCTGGGCTCCGGTCTACCACTGTCAGCAGCTTTTTCTCTTCCCTACTGCAATAAGTTCAGACTCCTTCATCCGTAACTTCCCTCTGTATTCTGGCCCATCCCTCTCGGTAGACGAGTGTTTGTCAACCCTTATATCATTACTGACAGGAAAGGAATCTTCCTGAGCTGTTTTCAGTACCATAGGTATGCTGTAGAGCTGTATTTTTATGTATGTAAAAAGAGAAAGATATTTTTGTGTCCTCTCCAAGACCCAGTGTTATCCTCCTGGGGGAAATACCAACCCCCTTGGGTGTGCATAGCCCACCGTCATGTGGTGAACCTCAGCTTCCTCAGACCCTTCAACTATACCAGCTGTGCCATTTTCCTCCCATGAGGTTGTGTGTGCTCTGCATATAACGTTTCTTTTTAATAACAGCTATTTTATTTTCCCTCTAATTATCAAAGAACTTTGACGTTCACTGTACTCTCTGGGTGCTACAGATTTTTAGTGCGTTCAGCTGTTAACCAAAGGTTACAGGTCAAATCTGCCCAGAGAAGCGTGGGAAGAAAGGCTGAGTGATCTAATTCCAGAAAATCAGCCACCGGAAGGCCTCTGAAGCACAGGTCTCCTCTGAGACTAAACAGGTTTCCATGAACTGTAGCTGACAAGATGGAAGCGGGACTGGACAGGTTCACTCTGGATCACTGGGGCAGGCCAACAATGGGAGGAGAGATCCAAGACCATCTGCTGCCCATCACGTAGAACTAGAAACTGTAAACCAGCCAGCCATTGGTGTTTTTCTTACACGTGGTCTTTTGTAACTGTATGTCTATTCCTTTGTCTTGCTTGTAACATTTGCATTGCTTTACTCCTTGGTAGCATACCACTTTTTCATGTATGTTTGTCAATATCATGATGTATTTAAGGTTATATTATTCTGATGCCCTGTGCAAGTAGGTATTATCAAAGCATAGTTGTGACGACTACACAATAATCATATAGGTATCGGATCATTTATTAGGCCCTCCACTGTTACTGACATGATTCTTTCCCCTATCTTTTCAATATTATAATATGCATTACATGTCATTTGATATAAATCTTAAGAAGGGAAGAAGGGGGTGATTAAACAGTTTCCTGGTGGTGAAGTCCTGGAAGTAAAGCCATCGGGGCACACGTTCAAATATGCTTAAGACTCAGAATTGCCCTGACAAATTGTTTCCCAAAAT